CTTCCGCGCCTTCCTTCCGCACCTTCCTCTTGTGACCTCTCACCTCCAAACTTTCTGCTTTAGGCATCTGCATTTTTGCACTCAMCTTCCCTCAAGATTTCCAATGAGTCACTGGCAAAGGCCAAAGCCCAGATGAGCCTTTCCGTGGCAGGAAGGTAAAAGGAGCCCACCTTGGTTCCAATGAGAAGGGACTCAGCTTGTGCCTCCTGGCCTTGCCTCCCTGATCCAACTTTGTGTGTAAAGGCTTGTAGGCTCTCTCACCAAACAAGAGAAGATGACAAGAAAGAGACAGCATGAAGAGGCCTGTCCAGAAGACAGGGAATGCTCCCCGGAGAGCAAGAGAAGGAAGATGGAGCACAGAGGAGGACGAAAGCGCGGGAAGCTGCAGCAGCCCCATTAGCCCAGGTATGGCTGTGCCAGGCTCTGCTGCCCACCTTTCCCTCCACACTGCCCTAGGCCAGCCCAAGGYKCTGGCAAGGGCCGGCGAGGGCTGCTGCYRKCCAGGGCTTGGCAAGAGYTCCATGGCAGCTGTGCAGGGGCTCTGCAGCCCTTGGCTTCCTCCATGCCCGTGTGCTGAGAGGAAGGGAAAAGGCACGGGCTGGGATGGCTGGCGGGGTTCAGGGCGAGGGGCTTTCTCCGCCCTGCAGTGCCCCAGGAGCTGCCATGCCTGAGCTGCCCAGGGAAACTCACCTGAGCACAAGCACTGACCCAGCCTTACCTTTGCTTCCTTTCTTCTTCTTTTCCTTCCCCACMGCTCCGTYGTGCCAGAACCTCAGTGGTCCATCACCTGAGGGTTCATAGATGGCTCCAGAGCCTTCCAGGGGAAGCCCAGCTTCCCCCACCAAAAGGTACATAGTTGCATATATAAATATATATGCAYATATCTATGTCATTCTATTCATATATCTGTGTAGTTATATTTAGATATGTAGTTCTAGATGCACATAGTTGCATTTTTGTAGATGTAGTTATAGTTGTACATGTGAATAGTTATGTTTATATATCTGTATAATTTAATGTATATATGCATAGTGTTATAGTGATAAATTTGCATAGCTCTATTTACATACTTATGTAGTTAAATAGTTTTATAGTTATACAGTTATTTGTATATTGAGCATTAGATTATAGGCTGATATTTTTATAGAATATTTTTTAACCTCTTTCTCTGCT